TTTAAATTTCTACACATCTGTGCATCGAAATTTGTTCTCCACCATGTTGATTGCTCTACCTTTTAGTTATGAAATTGTGAACAGATAGTAATGACATACACGTACATGATCAGTTGAGGTAGATGTAAAAGATTCAACACGCAGTGATCAAATTAGAGAAGGAAATACTTGTTTCGAAAACATGGTGGAATATGCTGATATCCACCCACTGTCTGATTAAACTGACAGCCTTTCTGTGTAATTTTTTCAATCGTCATCATTCACATCATCTGGCTTGATGTCTCTCTTTTCTATAGGATCATACAAATCTTTGTAGAAAAGTATGTCCTCTATTTCTGGCTTCCAAATGGAGTAATTTGTTGTTGTGAGCTTCACCATGTTACCCACGTTCTCCTCCATTTAATTTACACTGCTCGATACAAAGTCCGACTTGAGCTGTGATACCACTTGTTGGGCTCAGATGCGCAAATGCAGAAGATGTAAATTAAAATACTGACGTGAAATGGTGAACAATAATCTCAATCCCAACAACTCAAGAATGACCAAAGAAATCTCTTGCAATAAAACAGGAATAATTCTTTTTCTGATGTGGAAGATCAGATTAAACTGCGACCACAGAGCATACTAAGAATATCCCAAATACATAAAATATGCAAGAAATAAAACATCAAGATTTAACGTGGCAAAACCTCTAATGTAGAGGAAAAACCACGGGACAACCTCCGAACAATTCCACTATATTTTCAAGATAATTACATTAACTTTTCACACTCTCTTACACTAGAAATGTAAAATATAGTGACCTAGTGTGACCCCACTCCTATTTCAAATATTACAAACAATGAGTAATAGAGATGATACCTAACCCGGTGTATTTTTTCCACACTCACATGATTTACTCAAACACACTATTTTTATTTCACCGAAAAATAACACTCACATAAACTATATCTTGTTTCTGTTATTTTTCTTCTCGCTCTTGTTTTTTTTTTATGTGCCCGAAGCCCTCTATTTATAGTGGGAGTGCCCAAATTTGTCAATAATGGCATACCACAATAGTAAAAAAAGGCAGCTCAATTTAATGCTAAAGGCTGCTTGTCAAAATTGTTTGGCTTCATTTTTCATTGATGGTGGGCTTGGCTGGACCCATCAAGTCCATCAACCACAAAGGATGTCACAATGATGACAAATAAAAAATACAGATAAAATAGTCTTTTTTTTTTTTTTGTTTGCATTGTTATTTTTTTATCTGTATTACTAAACCTGCAACATAATTGCCTTGGACAAAATCAATTGGAACATCAAGGTAGTGGTCAAGGAGTTCAAGCATTGCACTTGCAGGATCGCCAACATATCGCCTTCCCCACTGCCAGGAGCGCCATTTACATGCAAGAAATTTAATCCCGTATAAATCGTGTTGTCAGCATCATGTTGGTTCTTCGGATTGAGACATGATTTTCGTCTAGATTGCAAATAGTGTCGAAAATACTGAGGATTTATATGATACGTGTATGGAATCAGAGATTAACTCCAAATATCTTATGGAGCCTTCCTTCTAGCGTCAAATTGTTGTTATATGAAAATTAAAACTATAATGGGGATTTAGAACGTAAAATGAATAGAATTAACGTAGTTTTTGTCTTAGCGTTGAGTCGATTAGTGTTACAGGAAGTCGGTTTTCTGTATGAACTGAGTTGGTTTTCCATGTGAGTATTAATGTCACGAAAAAGATTCTCGTACATGAGTTAATTCTCCTATTTATAGTACCTTTTAGATTGATGTTCGAGGTTGGTACGACAACATTTAATGCAAAGTGTCTTTATGAAGACGGTTTTTCGTAGGTGGGCCCACATATATGATTGAGGCACATGTGATGGGCGGTTGGTCGCGTAGATGACTTGTCATCACCTACGAGCTCGGTTATCAAGTAAGTCGGTTGCTTTATTGTGGACGAGGTTGGTTCTTCATCCGGTTTGAACCGAGTTCATCCAACTACGAATTTACTTCATTGTTAATGCTGGTTTATCTTCGAACTTGATGACTTACCAGGTCAATTGTCAACAACAAGTTAGTGCTCATTATCTAAAAAATGTCTAACATCTCATCCGCCTTGTGCGACCCAATATCTCCATCGGCCGCGTTGCCCACAATGTATTGAAGTTCTGATAGAGAGAGTCATAGAAGTTATTCACCAATAGGCCCGGTGGAATATTATAGTGTGGGCACTGTCTCTAAGGTCTTTGAAGCGCTCCCACGCCTCATGAAGTGCCTCGTTCGACTGTTAGGCGAAGAAGACAAGTTAAGACCCAAGCTCCTGCGTCTTTGATGGGATTAGTATCTCCCAATGAACTTGGAGTACACTTGCTCTGAAGTAGTAAGAGAATTTGGACCAAGTGTCATAAACCATGCTTTGGATCGGTCTTTGAACGTCTCCAGAAAGCATCGCATTTTCAGCTGGTCCTCATTTAGCCATGGAGAGGGAAGTTCTGGAGAACTTTATAGAATTCGCGTATGAAGTGAAAGGATAGAAATTGGTTGTAATGCATTGTTTTTAACTCGTAGTTTCGTGCTGCTTGTCCCAACTGGATGCAAGAGGTCACCGATGCGATCACGTGTTGAGCCAAGTCACGAAGAGGATATCGGGGAGGATAATTCTCTTTCTGATGCTCGTTACATGCCATGTCGACTTGATTGTCTGATTCAAAGGTTTCAAGGAGAAGATTAGCCAATAAATCCCTCAAATTCTCGTGAATGGAAATGTCGCTCGCGGTAATGACGCATCCGCTCCTGGTATGCATAAACAAAAACAACCGAGAAGGTCACGAACACAAGATAAAAAAAGAAGAGAACACCTGAAACCACCAACAATCGGAAAACACGAAAACAAGAGAAAACAGGAAGAAAAACAAAGAAGACACGAAAACACCGAAATAAAAACAAAATACACGAGAGACGACTAGAGAATCGAAAGGAAACCCAATTGAACTAACAAAAAAATAGCAACAAACATTGACAAAATTGGGTGACCAAATGATATAGGATATTATACAGAGTTGAGTTGACTTGGGAAGCAAACCCAATTGAACTGGTTGCACCACCAGGTCGATCAAAGGCGGAAGGTTGGTGAGGTCAAAAGTGGCGTCATCAGAACGGATCACCGCAGGTCGAGCTAGACCTTCGGAAGGCCTGTTGGAAGCTCATCCTGAAGGCATTGGAGGTCAATGGATCAACCTGACTGATAGAGCACGAGCTTCAAGAAGAAGGCATTCTATCTCGAGGTGAATCAAATGAATCCTATGATTGCACCGTTTGATGAGAAAAACTAAAAGATAAGAATAAATATTATGAGGATAAGAACCACGCAGATTAGACCACGTGGCATATTAGACAATTTGGATAGTTCGGGCAGTATGGGTAACACATTCAGACAGCCTTGGATAACAAGGTAGCACACCCTTATATGAAGGGTGGAGTATATCCATCCAAATGTTACACTCTCTCCACTCTATACTTACAGTGCTCAGAGAGCTTTTTGTTCACTCTCCATCATCTCCATACACGTTATGACTTAAAGAGTCAGAAGCTCTACGCTTGAATTTGTACAAGATTGAAAGTCATCGACTAGCAAGAAAGACAATCGAAGTCGAACCGAACTGATCCGAGGTCTTTTACATACCAAGAGATATCTTATTATGTTTTTCTTCTACTCTTAGAGAACATATTCTGGAAAATCACAAGAATCAAATATCAATTCTCCTTTCTGTTTAAAATCCATAAAACAAGGCCATAAAAAACTGATCGAAACAACTCATGGTACAATCATACAATCTCATAGCAAAAGATCTCAACCAAATATCAATTGTCCTTTTAGTTTAAAATCCATAAAACAATGCCATATAAATAACTGATCGAAACAACTCATGGTATAATCATACAACTTCATAGCAAAAGTTCTCAACCAACTGGAAAAAGAAACAAAAAAATGTCAATTGCAGGGGACAAAATATGGGTGTTCCCAATGCCCAATGATTTGCGGTTTGATGGTATTTTCGTCAACCCACTCAATCCACAGCCATTTTACCGGGCTTTGAAAAGGTAGGCTACATACTTCGCGAAAACGTTCATCAAGATCATTCTACAAGTTGAAAACAGATAAATCAGAAAAAAGATCAATTTACAAGTCATTTTGTCAGTCACTCGATCAAGCACATATATACACATATAATTGTTGCCTGATTTATAACAAGAATAGCATCTCGCTCACCTTTTCACATATCTTCTCATAAACATCCTTTGTATATTTATCTTTCAGCAAATCTTTAAAACCCTGAATGTTCGTTCCATTGGAAGTAAAGATATACACAAACTTGTTAAAATTCACTATTTTCAAAGTAGCCAGACGGAATAATGAGAAAAGTAGAGGCAATAATAAAATCTCTACCTGCGCAGTACAAGGATAATCACCATCAGCTATAATTACATCTACCCGCTGAAGTTCCACACCTGCTTTTTTGATCTCATCAATCAACTTGAGATAAAAGCTTTGATCGCTTTTATAATTGCCAAGACTTCCCTTTAAGAAGGAAAAAAAGACAAATAAATACGTAAATTACACTTGTTGATGCTTCCAACCACAAAGTCGTAACATAATTCGATCCAATAGTATGTAATTAGTATTATGTAAATGAATAGTCATTGATCAATAAATCCAATAAATCAAATTCACATAATAAATCTAATAAATCCAATTCACAGTGGTAAGTACCAAATTATCACCTCGTATGGAAGAAGCCTGTTTCTCTGCCAAAAAGAATCCAAACAAGGCATCCCTCTTCAGATATTCCAGTCGTACTTGGTCATTTGCATCCAATGAGAACGCTTTAATGTGTGCTAACACCATTGGATCCTACAAAATTAGTATGAGAATATGAATCATAAATATATACTTGCTTGGAGTGAATACTTTTGTCCCTCATGCGAAAACAGATTCTAACGAATACCTCCTCATGTGTGTCAACAAATGCCTTTATAAACTCGGAACTTCCAAACAACTTCCTCACTCGTGCCCCAAGAGTTGCTACTTGCACACCATCTTTACCAGCAAGCTTAAGGGATTGAAAAATATCTCCCACAAGTTGCCTAACATGTGGCTGCTGATCTATTATGCTAGCCATATCCGTCACAGCATCTAACTGCAAAAAGAGAAGAAGAATAAGAGAGGTAAAAGAAACACAGGTATTTCAAAATAAAAAGGAATCTCCATGTGGGAAGCATCTCACTAACCAACCAACCAACCAAACCACGTATGCATGCTAATAAAATATATCAATAAATACATTAAAATAATAAAAATAACTCCAACAAAATTACCCCAATGGTAACTTGAACGACAGTGTCGACCATCATAGACACCTCCTCGGCATAGCTGAGAACAGGAGCTAAAGGTATCTCTACCTGAAAATTTCAATCAAAAAATGCTATAAACACTCGAACAAAGAAAAGAAAAAGCTTGCTCAGAGCTTTTTTTTTTTCCTTCTAAAAATTCTTTCCGTAACGAAATTTGATTGCAACCACATACTTTCTGCCTTTTTATTTTCACAATCCACATTTTAAAATTCTGATTATGAATCTACAAAAGGATGAGAATTAATCAAGTGCTCAATTAAATATATAAATTTACCTAAAACTAATCGACAAGACATAAATAATCAAACTGCCAACCATGCACATATAGTCATATATATCAATATAGATATATAATATATGGTGAAGACATCTACTTAATCACCCCCAGATCAAAAGGAGTATTGCCAAAACAGAACCTGCATTTCTGAATCAACTCCGATATCAGCAATGGAATTTTCCTCGCCATACGTCATCATAGGTACATATGTATAACTGCAAAAACAATGCACATAGTACATATGTTCAACCATATTTGAGTATCGGGGGGATAAGGTATTAGCAGCAACAACTTCTATAAATGCTCCAATATTCTCATTAAATAGAGAAAAAAAAAAAAAAAAACATCACAATCACTAAGTCCAATTCTATGAAACTTCAGATATAAAGACAAAGTTTGGTGGGCAACCGATACAAGCTAAAGGTTGGATAGAATTTACACTCATGCAATGGTCAAGATTGCTTCTTTTCCACCCATGTCCTATCACACCATGTAAACTAATCTAGCAGATGGGTTTAGCCCTCTTTATAGTTCTTGCCAAAAAAAAAGAGAAGGAAAAAACAGAGCCATCATATAACACACTATGCATTTTGGAGGAAGAAAAACCTTTCATCCAATGTCGAATTTGATGCTGGGTCTCCTCCACTAATTTCTTCCTCACAAAGGTCTCCCTGAAAAATGAAATTAGGGATGATATACAAATTGCGAAAGTGTCACTTGTCCGCAATCTAGGTAACAAAGTAACGGCACCAAATACTCAAACAAAGAAAAAAAAAATGATAATATATGTAACCAAGGGTGTTGCTACCCCTTTTGACTTTTTCCTATCTGCAGCGGCTGATGCCTCAGTGCTTGCTCCTCTCTTGAGTGAAAGTGTAGAAGACAATGCATAATCAGACATCATCGTGGAGGCTAACTCTTCCTGAAATTAATTTAATAGAAATTAGGAAATGCTGATCAAAATAATTCATGAGGTAGAAAATTCCAGAATCAGCAGTGACCGATTTTATTAGTGCACCCCTATAAGTGCTTAACAATCAACATGTTACCACAGAGTACAACGAAGCTATAAAAAGCTCATTAAATTTCAAACTTAAAACATTTCTAACACTCAAAGCAACAACCATAACAATTTTCTAGCTTAACCACAATCGTAAAAAATGATATTTACACATTGCTGGCCAGATTAATTAATCAGGCCCATAACCAAAAATGTAAAATTTCAAACCCATGGCAAACAAAACACCAAAAAGATTGCCGCTTTGTGTTAAAAAAAAAAGGCAAAAACAAAAACAAAAGAAAGCAAGAAATTATTAAGGTACAGCTCACTTCGAATGGTTCATAACCTTGAGCGATAAATTTATTGGGAAAAACAGTGGTAAGCATATCATTGCAGCCTCTTACAAATACAGAATTGCGGTTGAAGATAATACGAATACCCATCAACTGAATCAGAGGAACGAGGTGCCGAGCGTGAACATGAGGCACACAATTACAGGCCAAATGACTGAAGCAGACAGGTGCAAATTTTATTTAGGGTTTGGAATTTCCTCACCTTTGGCGGCTTGAAATTTAGGGTTCTCGACTGAAACCTTAACAAACCACAACTACAGTTGTGCGTTTAGCCCAAGATTTTTTTTTTTTTTTTTTTAGATGAAGTAAGATTGCCTAGTGTTGAAAATGCAAAATAATTTCTAAAAGATTCTCTATGATTTCCTTCCGGAGCCAAACCGGAAAATTGACAACAGAAATTCGAAATTACGCAGAAAGAAGTCGGATGAGTTGAGGACAGCTACCGGAAATTGCAGCGTCGGACTGAGCTGCGGGCCCGGTAGCAGCGTCAACGGAGGTTTTTAGGGTTATTACCTGAAATTGGGCTCACAGAGAAATAGATCCGGCGAATTCAAAGCTTCGGCCGACAAGTAGCAGTGAGTGGCCAGCAGCGTCCGTCGGATTACTTTCTTGGTGAATTGTGGTCTGTTGTTTGGGATGGGTACGTCTTATGTGCTCTATCGATTTTTTAGGCCCACTTCGCGACAAAAGGAAGGGTCTTTCGTTTAAGTGAGGCGATTGTTTATGAAATAATTTGTTCAAATTATTAAGTTATTTTGGTTAACTACATTTAATTTTGAAAAAGGTGGTATCCCCCTATCCCCCTATCCCCCTATCCCCCTATCCCCCTATATATATTAATCCAGAATGCGCTGAGCCTACGTGGCTGCTTCTGGTGCTTCGGAATCCTATGTGGCAAAATTACATGCTTCGTTATTAGGCTTGGGTAAATTTTAATTTAATTCCAAACAAAAAATAATTAGGTTCGGATTACCATAAATATGTTGATTATTCATGGTCATGTTAGATGCATTAATTGCATTTTAATATCATTCCTTATTTTAACTATTGAATTGTATATGTATTTTAAAAGTTAATATCTTTTGTATTTTTTATCAGTTGTTCATATGTAATATATCAAATTAATCTTCTTTTGACGAGCTTCGATTTAACATCCATATTGTATGTATAAAAAAATAATTTATATTTATCTTTATAACAATAATAAAATTATTTTTAATATTAATTAGAAAAATAAAATTATTTATCAACTAATATATTTATATTTCAAGTAGTTATATGATATAAGTTATAAAAACTAATATAATATAACACATGTAAGTCATAAGTAACACATATCATTCTAAAATATATAGTAATATATTTTTTTTTTGTAAAAAACTAAACTAAATTTAAAATAGTTTTCTCATTAATTTTAAAATTTAAGAATAGTTTTTAACAAGCACCCGTGTAATACACGGGTGTTGTACTAGTGATTAATTGTAGGGAAATTTTAAGAATGTATTAGAGCATCTCCAAGAGACTTCGTATTTTAGACTTCCTATTTGGAGAAATAAGGAGCCATTCTATATCCATTTGCTTCCTATTTTCTGTTGTCCTCCAAGAGTCTCCCTATTTTATAATTTGAATATGAACGAGGGCCACAAATCGATGGGTTCTTGATCGGGCAGCGGCGGCGGCACCTTGTTTGCGGCAGCTGCGGCGGCGGCGCCACCTTTTCGTCCTGGGGCGACGCCGGCACCTTACATCCGGTAGTGGCGGTACCTTTCTGGCGGCGGCGGCTGCGAGGGATTCGACCTGTTCAGGGGCGGCGGTGGAGGGCGGCGAGGGGGCGGCGGTGGAGGGCGACGAGGGGGAGATGAAAGTAGCAGGGAGGAAAAAGACCGCGAGAGGTTGAAAATAAAGAGCGCGTATCGAAAATAATGGCGGGGAGATGAAATGGGGGGTCGTTTTTCCCTCCCCAGAAATGAGGAAGAGAAGCCTCTATTTGAGGATATCGTAAAAATAGGACCAAGTTTGGGGGAACTGTTGGCGACAAATTTTGAGAGAAAATCCCTATTTTTGAGATAAGAAAGAGGAATATGGAGGCTCTTGGAGATGCTCTTAAAATAATATTTAAAATAAAATAATTAAAATTGATTTGATGTAAAAGTAAGAGATAAATGATTGAAAATGATAGGTAGTTATAATTATGTGAGTGGATGAATAGTGAATTAAAGTTGATGTGATGTGTAAGAATGATTGATTTGTATTATTTAATTATATGAATAATACTCCTTCCTATTTTTTTTTAAATGTCATTCTAGCTTTATCAACTATTTGTCAAATAAATGTTTGGATCTTTTGTACATATTTTTCCATTAATACCCTCATTTAGTCAATAAATATATTACTTCTTTTCATATCAACTCTTCATTTTTTTCTCAAAACATTCATCTCTATCTTCATTAAATAAGGTTATTATTGACACAAAAAATATTTTTAATTAACGTGCAACTTCTCAAAACGACATATATTAAAAATAAGAGGTAGTATTAATGATAGTGGGGTTGAGTTAAAATTGAGTTAGATTTTGATTTGAAATAAAAGTGAGTAAATTATTTTGTAAACAATCACCCCCTAAGGGTTTATTGAACCAAATCCCCATGTATTATATGAAATCTGCGCGTTATCCTCTATATTCAAAAATTTAAACCCTTTTGTATTTAATATTTGCGTGCATACTCGCCATTTGATGTCAACACTGTTACTTTAATACTGACGGCGTTGTTTTTTCGTCGAATTTTTTATCATACCCTTACTTTATCATTGAATTTACCATCATGCCATTATACCTTTACTTTATTACTTAATTTACTATTATATCATTACTTTATCACTGAATTTACCATTATGCCATTACTATCAAATAGTATATATTCTCTAAATTATATATAAAGAAAATAATATATATATAACGTATTTATATGAATGTGATTATATATAT